ATGTGCGAGGCCCTCAATGCTGCCTGCCGAGACCAGAAGCTGGTGCGGCTCAGTGTGCTGGGTACGTCCGTCTGTCCCCCCACCTGCACCCTCCCCACTCCTTCAGGCAGCCCTCCGCCCCCACCCCTCAGGCAGCACCGCCAGGGGAGGACCCCAGGGAGCCTGGGGTGCCAAGCCTCCTGCAGCAATGGTGTCCAGCTGCAGACTTGAGGGGTTCAGGTCAGGGTCTGCAGACTGGATGCACTTGAGTCTGAAACTCAGCTGTGCACTTACTCAGTGACCTTGGGCAAGTCATGCCCGCTCTCTGAGCCTCAACTCTCATCTGTAGGTGCCAGTTGGTATAAGGCCTAGCCCAGTGATGGCGAACCTTTTGAGCTCAGCGGGTCAGCATTTTGAAAAACCCTAACTTAACTCTGGTGCCGTGTCACATATAGAAATTGTTTGATATTTGCAACCATGGTAAAACAAAGACTTATATTTTTGGTATTTATTTTATACATTTAAATGCCATTTAACAAAGAAAAATCAACCAAAAAAAGGAGTTCGCGTGTCACCTCTGACACGCGTGTCATAGGTTCGCCATCACTGGACTAACCGATGGGATGGGATGTGAGCGCTTAGCCCCGGGCCTGGCGCAGTGAGCTCTGACCTTGGGGGGGGGGGGCCCTTCCCGCGCCTGACTGACCACGGGGTTCTCCGCAGGGAGCCTGTCTCAGGGCTCCTGGTCTTCAGGATCCTCTAGGGGGAAAGCTGGCCCCAGATGTCCTGAGCAGGACTTGCTGGAAGGTTCTTCCTAGGCCCGGGGCTGGTTCATCCATTTGTGTGTTCGCCGGCTCTGTGATGGACACTGCCAGGCCCCGTGGGCTCACAGCTGGCAGTGGGGCTTCTGCCTGGGTTTGCTGGAGGGACAGGCTGTGGGGACCCAGAGGGGCTTTAACACAGGGGGCCCGCACTGTGTGGGACGGGGCCCAGGAGGCTGAGGCCCAGAGAGGTCAGGCGCTTTTCCCAGGTCACCCAGCAGGTCGTTGGCATGCTGCCTGGTTCTCTTCCTGACTCCCTGGGTCTGGGCCCTCCCTGGGGTGGGGTCCTTGTGGGCCTTGTGGGGTCCTTGTGGCCCTTCTGGGCTTCCATAGACTGTTACGGAGGCCGGGGCTGGGGAGGACACTGTGAGGCACGGCACTTACTCTGCTTGTCCCCCGGCCCAGTTCCCCCCACCTTCAGGCAGGCTCTCGGCGGCCCCCAGGATGGGTTCCCAGTGAAGGCAGGGGACAAGGCCGTTCTGAGCTGTGAGACAGACTCGCTCCCTGAGCCAGCTGTGACCTGGTACAAAGATGGGCAGCCCCTGGTCCTGGCGCCGCGGACCCAGACTCTGCAGGGTGGGCAGAAGCTGGTGATCCTGGACACCCAGGTGAGCGACCCGGGGGTATGGGCGGCCATACAGTGCCACCTCCTGGTCCTGGCGGGCAGCTGGGTGGCAGGACGTGGGGGCTGCTGCCTCCTCAGCCTGCAAGACCCCAAACCAAGTTGATTGGCAGCCTCCGGGTCTGGGGAGTGGGAAGAGTGCAGGGCTCCACATGGACTCGCAGAATGACCTTGAGCAGGTCCCTTCTCCGCCGCCTACCTCAGTTTCCCCAGGATCTGGAAGCTTTTTCCAGGCCCTTCACGTTCTAACTTCCTGGGAGTCGGTTCTGCCCACCCCCTCTGGTGTGGGTTAGACAGTCACCGTGTTTGTTGGGTGTTGGCTGCTCCTCTGGAAATACATCCTGGGCTCCTCCCTCCTGCTCAGCCCCATCCTACAGCGAGGGGGCCTTTTCCGCCAGGCTTGGCTGAACGCAGGCCCGGGAGGGGGAGGGGGTCTGGAGCCTGTCTTTCGCCTTACGGGGGCCCTCTTGCCTCTTGAGGCTCTTGGAAAGGTCAGAGGGTCAGGTCTCCCCTTGACTTCCCAAGCAGGACCAGCATATGTGGGAAGTCTCTGCTCTGGCAGGTTCTGGGACCTGGATGTTTTGGGGGAGCCAGAGGAACCCAGCCCCATGCACACTGTGTGCTCTCCGTCCCAGGTGTCAGATAAAGGTGTGTACAGCTGTAAGGTCAACAACACGGCTGGAGAGGCCATGCGGGCGTTCGTCCTCACCGTCCAGGGTAAGCTGGGACCCGTCTGCGAGCGATTTCACGGGATCCTTAGCAACACACAGGCTGCTGACGATGGGAAAGGCAGCAGCTGGAAAGAGGTGGGGCTGCCCAGTGTTGAGGGAACAAGACCTGGAACTGAAAAGAGCAGAATCAGAATAGGGCTTATCTCTCATCTATAAACCCAGATGTGAGTGGGGTAGCTGGGTTCCATGTGGAAATTTAGAGGCCCAGGATCCTTCCATCTTGTTGCTCTCCTGTCCCTAGGGTGTTATCCCTGTCCATGTGGTTGGAATTGGGACACAGTGTATCTTGTCCTAGCCCACAGGAAGCAGAAAAGAGCAGAAGTAGAATTGTTCCCTCTGCTTGCTTTCCATTTGGTGAGAACTTAGGCAGCTGGCCACAACAGGCTGCAAAGGAGGCTGGGAAATGTAGTTTCCATTTGAGCAACCATGTGCTCACTGCAATTGCTGTGCAAGATGGAGAAGACAGGTTGGGCAGACACCAGCTATTCGCTGCAAATAGCCAAGCAGTAGCGTCCCCACCAGGGGAGCAGTGGGAAGATCCAACCATGAGCCATATTGAATACCATTGTTATAAACTATTGATACCATGCCTGCTGCTCAAAGCTCACGCCCCTTCACCGGATGGCTACCTTGATGGACGGTGGGCAGGGGGCGATGTCTGGTCTCTGAGGGCAATGGCATTTCATCCTCAGCACAGCTGTCTCTGTTCCAGTGGTGGCGACTTCCTCCTGGCTGCGCATGAGAGTGTAGGGATTGATTAGTGATGTCTGTCCTGGCATAAGCTAGAACTGCTGAGCCATGAGCCATGCACTTACTATCCTTGGGCTAAGCGGACCCCTCCTGGACTCTGCTCTGTAGATGCTTTGGAACAGCCAGCTGCAGGTTCCCCTTGTGAATAAACCAGCGCACATCTCCATCAATGGCAAAGCCTAACATACCAACTCCCGGCCATGGGCAGGGCTTTCTCGAACATCTGAGAGAAGGGAGGGAGGGAACATCTGAGAGAAAGGCAGAGCCTTAAGACTCTGGGCATCTGGCCTTTCTCCTGCAGTGCCCCCAACGTTTGAGAACCCCAAGACGGAGACAGTGAGCCAGGTGGCTGGGAGCCCCCTGGTGCTGACCTGTGATGTCACCGGGGTCCCTGCCCCCAGGGTCACCTGGCTGAGGGACAGAATGCCCGTTGGTGAGTGCATCCGATTCTCCTCTTTTTAGTGCTAAGTATTCCTTTAATGAAATGACAGTGAAAGCCGGTGGAAACCCCATACCTGTTACCCTTCGCTCCCCATTTCCCTCA